AATATAACAAATATAACAAAGAGTGAAAAATTGAAGGGGGTCTGAATACTTTCCGTACCCACTGTATATACACATACAGGTGCATCTCAAAAAATTAGAATATCGTGAGAAAGTCCTTTTTGTAACATTTCAAAAAGTGAAACTTTCATATATTCTAGATTCATTACATGTAAAGTAAAACATTTCAAAAGTTTTTTTGTTTTACTTTTGATGATTAGAGCTTACAGCTCATGAAATTAAAAAATCCAGTATCTCAAAATAGAATATTTCCTAAGATCAATAAAAAAGGATTCGCAAAACATAAAAGTTCAAGTTATTTAAAGTATGTTAATTTATGCACTCAATACTTGGTCGGGGCTTCTTTAGCACAAACTCCAGCATCGGGTTCAGGTCAGACATGTTGGCTGGCCAATCAAGCACAGTAATAGCATGGTCAGCAAACCACTTGGAAGTGGTTTTGGCACTGTGTGGGCAGGTGTTAAGTTCTACTGGAAAAGGAAATCAGCATCTCCATAAAGCTTGTCATCACATGGAAGCATAAAGTGCTCCAAAATCCAGACTCCAGACCTTGATTTCCAAATGAAATGCAAAATTTACTTTTATTTGAGAAGAGGACTTTGGACCACTGAGCAACAGTCCAGTTCTTTTTCTACTTAGCCCAGGTAAGATGCTTCTGACGTTGTTTCTGTTTCAGAAGTGGCTTGGTACCCCTTTTCCTGAAGACGTCTGAGCGTGGTGACTCTTGATGCACTGACTACAGCTTCAGTCCACTCCTTGTTAAGCTCTCCCAAGTGTTTGAATCGGCTTTGCTTGACAGTATTCTCAAGCTTGCGTTCATCCCTGTTGCTTGTGCACCTTTTCCTAGCCAATTTCTTCCAGTCAACTTTGCATTTAATACGCTTTGATACAGCACTCTGTGAACAGCCACCCCTTTCAGTAATGACCTTCTGTGACTTACCCTCTTTGTGGAGGGTGTCAATGATTGTCTTCTGGACCATTGCCAAGTCAGCAGTCTTCCCCATTATTGTGGTTTCAAAGAACAAGAAATACCCAGAATTTATACTGTAGGAATTTATACTGATGGTCATCTAATGAAACTCAAATGTAAATATTCTAATATTTTGAGATACTGGATTTTTGACTTTCATGAGCTGTAAGCTCTAATCAAAATTAAAACAAAAAAAAACTTTTGAAATGTTTTACTTTACATGTAATGAATCTAGAATATATTAAATTTTCACTATTTGAAATTATACAAAAAAAAGAACTTTTTCATGATATTCTAATTTTTTGAGATGCACCTATATACATACATACATATATAATTTTTTTTATTTATTACAGGTCTTGTTTTGTGAAGCTATTTGTCATTATACCTGTGTGCGAGACTTAGTAATATTAATTCTATGAATTTAAATCAATCAAATCAAAGTCAGAACAGTGGACAAATTCAGACCAATTTTGCAATATATAGTGATTTTCCAAATATACAATGAAAAGATTATAAAGGAAAGAACTCAAAAGAACAATGTATTCACAAATTTGACCACTATTTCTGTCATGAATGCACCAAACAAAGCTAGGATGGATGATGCTCATCAATAAACTTTAGGTGCGTTAGTCTAAGGCCCTGTCTGAAATGGCACACTTCACGTGCACTTGCTTACTTACAATGGCTGCCACATGTGCATGTCCATTAAGTCCTTGAGATCATAGGGTGTCGTATTAATCAATTTAGCTTTCAGAAGGGTGTCTTACGTCACTAAAGTGTGTGTGTGCGCACTTTATGTATCCAGATGATGCACTTAAACAAAAAAGCAAAGTGCGGAGAGTTGGACATTTCATGCATTCTGCAGTCGCAGTTTTAATTGCATAGCGGAGGGGAAGGGGCTATAAGACTCTCATGTACACTAGTTGAGTACATAGTACATAGTGTATAGTGCGCCATGTGGGACGAAATTTAAAATTGCTATGAAATGGAAAGAAGCAACAGATTTTTACTTGCATATTGTGATGGAGATGCAAGTGTAACTTGTTATAAAAACAAAAGAAAGAAAGAGGGCAGGATTTGACTTGTTTTTATTGGTTGTTGGTTGGATTTTGAG